AATGATATATAGGCTAATGGCTTCTATATCCAATGAGCTATCTGACTGCCATTGTGGGGTCAAGATGGAATTTTTTTCCTAGTTTGTTGTAAAATTAAAAGTACTTCAAACTGTTTTTTTTTTTGCCTTCTTTTGGATCAACAGCAAAAAACAAATGTGAGGAAGACTGAACTCGATGGACACAGGTCTCTTTTCAGCCTGTGTGTAAACAATTATTGTTCTGTTTTTTTCTTTCTATTTATTGAAGGAATATTTTCTTATATTTTGCACTAGTTGTATTATACATATGATCTCTTGTGTCTTGAAGCATTACCAAGAGGTGTGTAGTAGTAGCAGTAGGATGAGAAGTTGTGAAAAAACATTCCATTCTAGGTGCCAGCAAAATAATTATGTTTAGTAAATGTGTCTAGTATTTGAGCAATATGTCTTGAATTATTCATTTGTATTTTAATTCATGTAATTAAAAGATAAATAGTAGTGTAAATCTCCTTCAATTCTTTGTTGACAAATAGTGATGTCGCGAACCCGAAATTTTCGGTTCGCGAACGGCGAACGCGAACTTCCGCAAATGTTCGCGAACCGGCGAACCGCCCGAAACGCCATTGACTTCAATGGGGAGGCGAATTTTAAAACACACAGGGACTCTTTCTGGCCACAATAGGGATGGAAAAGTTGTTTCAAGGGGACTAACACCTGGACTGTGGCATGCCGGAGGGGGATCCATGGCAAAACTCCCATGGAAAATTACACAGTTGATACAGAGTCTGGTTTTAATCCATAAAGGGCAGAAATCACCTAACATTCCTAAATCACAATCAATATGGATTGACACCTGACATATGACATATTGACACCTTGACATATGGATTGACACCTGTCCTCAGAGCCCCTGATGCACACGGACACAGAGCAGAATAGAGACTGGTCCCCCTACATAGGGTCACTTGGCAAATATGGATTGACACCTGTCCTAAGGATCCCTGATACACACTGACACAGAGCAGAATAGGGACTGTTCCCCCTACATCGGGTCACTTGGCAGATATGGATTGACACCTGTCCTAAGGTTCCCTGGTACACACTGACACAGAGCAGAATAGGGACTGGTCCCCCTACATCGGGTCACTTGGCAGATATGGATTGACACCTTGTTACAAAATGCTATTTGTAACGGGCCCTTTAAATGGCAAATTGCCCTGCTTCCCTGGGTTGTGGAGAAGCCTACTTGCCAGCCTCCTCCCGCATGACTATGGCCCCTGGGAGATTGTGAAAATGTATGCACTTTTATTTGGTGTGTATGGCCCTTTAAGACTGTCGGTGGGCATATTGGGGCTTATGGACTCTTTATGTGACTGGTGCTGGCCCACACCTTGGGACATCAGGAAGATTGGGACACTGCCCCTTTAAGGCGTGTCCCCAGACTTGTTGGGGACACGGCCCCTTTAAGACGGTGTCCCCTGTGTACCTGGTGCAAACCCTTTGTGCCTGCCTTGCTTGGTTCTATTTCAGCTTAAACGATGGGACTTATCAGCCTTTCAGAGCTGAAGAAAAGGACACTGTCCTGGAGATATGGCCTACTTGCCACCCCCGGACTGCCCCCCTGAGCTTCCCTTGAGACCCTTCCTTCCTCCCGTTCATGGTCCCTTGGGATAATTGTGAAAAGTGGGTATATTTATTTAATGTATGGCCCCCATATCTGAGCATATTGGGGCTTATGGACTCTTTATGTGACTGGTGCTGGCCCTTTAAACACCTTTTTTGGGACATCAGGAAGATTGGGACACTGCCCCTTTAAGGCCGTGTCCCCAGACTTGTTGGGGACACGGCCCCTTTAAGACGGTGTCCCCTGTGTCCCCAGACCTGGTGCAAACCCTTTGTGCCTGCCTTGCTATTTCCCACTTGGTTCAGTAAATGGGAAATTATTTCAGCTGCAGAGACCAAGTCCCATTCGGCGATGGGACTTAGTCTTTTTTTCAGCCGTTTTTTTCAGCCTTATTTCAGCTGCAGAGACTAAGTCCCATTCGGCGATGGGACTTAGTCTTTTTTTCAGCCTTATTTCAGCTGCAGAGACTAAGTCCCATTCGCGATGGGACTTAGTCGCTTTTTCAGCCTGAAATAGACCGACCTCACAGCCCAAATCTATGGAACTGTTTTGGGCAGGAAAATGTGCTTGCGGTCGGTCATAAAGGGACCTCCAGCTAACTTTTTAACCCCTGGATGGATTTGGCTGATTTTTGGTTATGTTTATGTTTTAAGTGTGCTGATTCCAAATATGTAATTATGAAGATGGGATGTGTAGTTTTAAAGTTACAGGGTATGGCTAAAAACTGTATTTTTACTGCCTGTGTTTAATTATGTTAATCTCTTCCCAAACGTCATTTCGTTCAAAGTGGAGAGAATGTTAAAAAAATATATTTTTGTTCGGAGTGTGAGAAATGCTTTTCAGCCGCTTCTAATCTTAAGCATCATTTGAGGAGCCATACAGGAGAGAAACCTTATTTGTGGTGTGTTTAGTATTGTTCTGATCAGTTTAATACCTTCCGCGTCTCCTATCAGTGGACGTGTATATGGCAGCCATTTTAGGAACCGTACACCTGGGACCCGAGCAAGGTCACCTCGTTCAACAGGCGACAACATTTGTCCCTGAAAACTATCCTGACATTCTGTACAATTTGTATGGATATGGCAGTGATTTCTGTACAGGGAGATGGAAGAAGCTATCGTCCTCTTAATTCAAATTTGGGGCACTGCGCTGTCAAGCTAATGTGCCACCAGATAGAGTGCGTGTTTAGTATTGTTCTGATCAGTTTAATACCTTCCGCGTCTCCTATCAGTGGACGTGTATATGGCAGCCATTTTAGGAACCGCAGACCTGGGACCCGAGCAAGGTCACCTCGTTCAACAGGCTTGCAGCGTATCCTCCAGGAAGAAGAGCCTGAACCCTTACCGGCTGCACGTGTCTTACCTGTACATGGAAAGCTGCTCTGGTTCCTTGATGAGCCAGCTGCCTGTGAGTTAACATAACCCGTGGAGAAGCACTCTGTCCTGTAAAGCCTCACCAAAAAAAAGGAGTGGTGTGTTTAGTATTGTTCTGATCAGTTTAATACCTTCCGCGTCTATCAGTGGACGTGTACACGGCATTGATTTTTGTAACAGGGAGATGGAAGAAGAGGCTTGGTCGGTCCTCTTAATTCAAATTTGGGGCACTGCGCGGTCAAGCTAATGTGCCACCAGATAGGAGTGGTGTGTTTAGTATTGTTCTGATCAGTTTAATACCTTCCGCGTCTCCTATCAGTGGTCGTGGACACGGCATTGATTTTTGTAACAGGGAGATGGAAGAAGAGGCTTGGTCGGTCCTCTTACTGCAAATTTGGGGCACCAAGTACAAGTCAGTTTCAATGTGACACCAGATAGGAGTGGTGTCAGTACTATTTTTATCAGTTTAATACCTTCCGCTGCCTCCTATCAGTGGACGTGTACACGGCAGTGATTTCTGTAATAGGGAGATGGAAGCAGATGCTTGGTCGGTCTTCTTACTGCAAATTTGGGGCACTGCGCGGTCAAGCTAATGTGACACCAGATAGGAGTGGTGTGTTTAGTACTATTTTTATCAGTTTAATACCTTCCGCTGTCCTATCAGTGG